GCCAGCTACATACAGAAAAGAATTAGAGGGGTTAAATAAGTGGATTGTGCAAGCTAAACATAGAAAAAGCCTGCGAGTTCACGACTCTATGGAAACCGCGGCAGACCAAACCAGATGAAAGTGCGCATTCAGCTCGGCAAAGAACTCATGCTCTTCCTCAACACTGAAGTCCTCAGACATTTTTCTTTCGTTGTTTCTTTCTTTGCACAGGTAAACAGCACATTTCTTCTTCTACGCTTGCATTATCGGCAGAGCAGACGCTGAATGCGCACTTTCATCTGGTTTGGTCTGCCGGCTTCCGTAGCGCCGTGAATGCGCAGGCGCGCGCTTTCAGGAAATCATATGCACTACTGTTTATGCTCTAAAAACATTCTAAATGACTTCGTTTCGAGTAAATTCTGTATGCTACCCACTCAGGACACTTGGAATACATTGGACGAGCAGCATGGAGGAATATTGACACGTTTTTTGTGGACTTTTATGGACCTTTCTGCCTCAGGCGCCATAGACCTCCATTATTTGAATGTCAGCAGACAGCAAGAAGCCTCCCAGATCTCCAGATGCATTTGAGATATCAAAAAAGTACTCCAGAGTGTTGTTCAGCATGGGGGTGAGTAGAAAATGAAGGCTAATCATGTTTTGGGTGTACTATTCCTTTAACCGGTCTGGCAGAAGACTGCCATGATGAGCCTGGTTCTGCCACAGGTTTCTTCCCAACAAGGAGTTTTTCCTCTCCACTGTCGCTTTATGCTTGTTCATCATGGACAGGTTCATAGAACCTGTGATAGCCAACTGGACTTCCATGTTCCAGGTCCCTGAGTGAAGCTCTAGTATCAGCTCACGCAGTCCACTGGATCTCCCCATAAAGCTCAGCAGACCGTCTCGCCAACCAGCAGTCTACAAACTGACCAACTTCATCTATTTTCACTCCACCACCAGATACAGGCCTTGGGGGGAAAACAGCTCTGTTCTTTGCTGTAAGGAGAGGATGTAAAAATGTATTGAAAAAATAATTACTCCAGTAAAATACATTTAGACAAATTTTCTACTTAAGTAACGTAACAAAGTATACTTTGTTACTCCAGAGTGTTGTTCAGCATGGGGGTGAGTAGAAAATGAAGGCTAATCATGTTTTGGGTGTACTATTCCTTTAATTGCTCTTTACTTGTGACAGTGTAACGTCAATAAAACACTGGGAAAAAAAGAGACGACCCATTTATATATAGGTTAGTGACTGCAACTCAAAATTTAAATTAAAAATTAGTGCAGAAAAATGCATCATAAGCAGTATTGATAAAACGGACGCGAAACTGCTTTGGCTAAATACATTAGCAGTGACAGGTTGTTAGAGATACAGTAGTTTTTCTGATGCATTTTTTTACCATGTGGCTTGAAGATCGCGTAGCAAACAGTGAAATAGAAGGTCTGGAAGTGAAACTAAAATAAATGGTCCACACTACAGTATGAGATCAATGAATAATGTACACCAATCATGTTGTACACAATTGGTTCCTGACACATCAATCATGGTTGTCTGCTTGTGCCTCCCTCCTGTGTGTGTACCCTGACACTGTTAGGATTCCAGTTTGTGTTTGTCTTCAGTTTGTTTTTTGTGTTTTCCTCTCTCCACCACCAGGCGGTGCGCTGTCTTCATTGGGCCTCCCATAACACCTGCGGCTTGTTTGGTCATTACCAGCGGAGTAATGAGCAGCGGGCTGTGACCACCTCGACGCCAGAGTGTTTGCCAGTATTTGGTACTCTAGCCAAACTGTGATTAGCAGAGTCTAACCTTAGCATTTGTTCTTAGCATTTGATCTAAGGACAAACCAAGAGCCCCCCAAAAGTGAGTAAAGAATGTGCATGCTGCTTTATTTTTTATGCTTGTACATGTTTAGTTTTGATGTGCGGCTGAAAATATCGTCAGTGCAGTCAGTTCATCCAGATTACCATCCTGCCCTCAAATATTATTTCTGTCTGAGCCGCTCAGGCCCCTGTACACCGGCGGTGCGCTGTCACTACGAATCCAATTCAACAACAGCCTCTGGCCCTGGTTGCCTCTTCACAGTTTGCTGCATCGGCTGGAAGGCATTTTTCATGTACGTAATCCAAACTGCAGGTACCAGGATAATAAAAGCGAACATGTTTTGCTGGCTGATTTTGGTATTTTAAGTTAATTTAGGCGTTAATTAACTGTTTCAGAGGAGTGATCATAGCACTCTGCATAATCATTGCTGTGCCTGTGTCCCTGCAAACTCCCAGATCAGTGACGCAATACTTCAGCTGCTCAGACGCTCTGCTCCTGCTGCTCTAGATGCGCTGCAGGATCTTTTGCTGCACCGTGATGCGGGTCAACCATTGACTTTGCATGTAAACTAGCTGCTTTTGCTGCCTCTGCTGCTTTAGGTGTGAACGTAGCATTATGTTGTTGTTAACTCGTATAACGAGCACTCCTGGCTTGTTTCTTCTTGATCTCATCTGCACACCTCGACAGACAGCTTGCATGTTCATGTGTTTTGAAGGCGTGGTTTCAAGGGATGGTCTGAAGAGAGAGGTATGGTTTTGTATGTTCAAAAATGTAGCTTGCTGGAACCGTATTTCCAAAAACTCCTACAGCACCTTTAAAGCTGTTAAGTCTGTCTGAATTATAGTTAGTTTACTCGGCAAGAGTCTCTCTTACGTGTGTCAAGTTTTTTGGGGGAATAGAAGTTTAACTGACACGACAGAGGTGTGGGAAGAACATTTTCATCAGTCTTATTTTAAGCGTGACATGAGGCTTACTCTGTGTAAATAATGCTGCCTTTATGTGTTATTGTAATCATGGTGAGTATGAGAAGCCAAAATCAAAATTTCTTTATCTGTATTTATCAAACTCTTGCTGCAGCATTTGAGATAAGCTGATGGCTTTGTATAGTATGTGGAAAGCTTGTGGAGTTCTCAGAAATAAAAACTTAAAATAGTCCAGTCTTGAAATAACAAATGCTGTCTTTTTGAGCATCACCCCAGGACCCGATATTTATATATTTTGCAATATTCCAGCAATAAAAGCAAGGAATACCTTTTCAATATGGGACTGATAGGAAAACTCTTGATCAAAAATGACAAGAATATTTTTTATGTTATTATCGGAAGCCAATTTTATGCCATCAAGATGAAGTGACAGAGTTTCTTTTTCAGAGACTCTGGTCCAAAGACAATTACTTCATATTTTTAATCAGCATACAAAAGCAGAATGTTCAGTCATTCAGGTTTTTATTTCTTTAAGTAATTCCTGTCGTCTGTCAGACAAATACCTACCAAGTGCTGTTTCATTAAAATGTTACAAGCCTTTCTTAAACAATGTTTTCATCAAAGGTATCAAAGGCAGCACTCTGTTCTAACAGCATGAGCACCGGGTCTATTATGAGAGGCCATGAGAATTTCATTGTCTCGATGAGCTCTAAAATATCAAGAATTGTCTGCTCAATAAACTGTTAAAAACAGTTTCTATCATCCTGTGTGGTTTTCTTGCATATGGGTCAAGATTTGATTACTATAGACTTTCCTATTTTGACCAAAATAATACCTTAAAATCCACATGGCAATAATTATAGAATAAGGTCTTAGTTCTGTTACACTGGTAGCCAAGTAATCAACATTTCGTTGTCAAGATTCACCTTGTGTTTTTTTGTGCAATGACAACAAAGGAAGTCTAAGTCTCTAAGTCTCATTTTTGGTCTAAAAAGACATAACATCATCAACACCATTACAAGACATTAAGGACTGTTGAGGCATGTTTATTGTAAAAAAGTCGTAAAGCCCAGGGTTAAAAACCATTGCGCTACTATAAGGAATGAAACAAATGAAATTATGCTCCCATTAAAAAAGCCATTTAGCTTTGAGAGACATAATTTATTCATTGGATTCCCACAGTAATTGCTTTCTAAGGGTATCAACAAAACTATTAATGCATTAATGGTGAAATTGCATCAGAAAGCTAAAGTGATTCATTTCCTTTAGACAGCTGCCTCTAAGTACTAGATGATAAAAACTTAATGTGACACCAGAAAATTTATTTCCAGTACATTTTACCAGCTGGAGAACAACCATAGAATAAATAATCTTCCTGCGGCATAGGACCTATTTTGAGCTATTTACATGTAAGTTTACATTTCATCCATTAATTTATACAGTGTGCTGGGTATTTCTAAGGACTGCTGTTAACCTGATAGCAATTATGCTTTTTAGTGAACCCAACTAGGATATTTATTTTTGCTTTTTTTAAGTGTATATATGCTATTCAACCACAACGGGATAAAAGCCTTAGTCTTAATGTTAGAGCCTTTGTTTCAGAGTTCAGTTGGGTAAATGCTTAGCCATTGAAGAGAAGACCTGACAAAGCTGAGCTCTGTAAATTGAGCAGGTAGGACAGTTGGGTTCAAATGAAACAGGTTACTGGTAAATAAATGATCCCACTGAGTTATTGCTCCAAAGGTCAGGGAAGTGGAGCCTACCTACTAAAACCTACAAACATTTCAGAAAGAAATAAAGCTAATAACAGTCAATAATAAAACACCCTTTAACAGATGAAGCAGGGATGTTTCTGTACAGAACTTTAAAATCATATCTTTTTAACAAGGTTTCATTGGTACAGTGTGCAATTTTGGAGTAAATGCATTTTTGCATTTTGATAAAAACATCATCTACAATGTAGTTCAATAATACTACACCATGAGAGACAAATTCTGTTGCCTCTTCATATTCATATCAACTCTTTGTAAATATAACCCAGATGTTATGATTTGTCTTCTCTTTTCTTTTTCTTTTTCTTTTTTTTTTTTTTTTTTACAAAAAGTCATTGTTCCTTTTGGATTTTAGTAAAAACTATGACTCACACAAAAGTAAACTGAAACCTTGATCCCAACACTGATGTGATGTGCACTACAGAGCTTTTTACAGAGAATATTCAACAATAAATGGGGAGAACTTGGTCAAACTCATTATGATCTCACGTCTGTCTGCAGATGATGTATGAAGAAATGGAAGCATTCCAGTTCAACAAATCAAATTTCAGCAAAGGCGGCAATGACAGCGACAGCCCTCCTGCATTTATCATTAGTCCCCATTCATTCTTGCATGTAGTCCAACTTATCATCATCTGCACCGGTCTTCCTTTGACTCTTATTGTGATTGTTGCAGTTTATTTTCTGGTGAGTCAGGGGTCCTCGGACCCTCCTCTTACAGGTGTGAAATCAAGTTATACTGGCATCGGTACCTGTGTGTATATCAAATAAATAGACAAAATATATTCTATTGCTATTATAAAAAACATCTACAATTACTTCTTTTTTGTTATCCATTTTTTCATATCAAACTGGAATTAGTTTGATATCAAAGAAAGTTTTATCAGTAAGGACTAAGGATGTTCCAACCATAACATTTGTTTGTAACTGATACTGAATTTTAGGAAACAGCCATTTATAAACACAAAGCCCAAGTTTAATGGATTACTATTTTCAATAAATTGTTAAATTATGAATCTCTTGTTTATAAGCTGAAAAGAGGCAGCAAGTCAAATGTCATTTTCTTCAATGTGTTTAATGCAATCTGTATTTTAAAGAATGGCTATGAGTGCAATTTGGTAAATAGTGAACTTCATCTACAGATTCGAGAAGAACGCGTTGCTCCCATCTACATCATCAATCTTCATATTTCTGATCTGATTCAACTGTGTTGCATGGTGTATTGGAAGGAGATTGGAGAGGATCAGGTGAGCGATTGCATCTATTTCTTTGGAGAGATGGCCAGCGTTGGATTCATGGTCTGTATCTCCATGGAAAGGTAAGTTATAAAATGACTGATGTATCATTCTCATTTTGTTTCCAATGATATTATCCTGAATCTGTTTTTTTTAAAGAAAATGTATCTTGTATTACAGGTATTTGATCATCACCAAGCCACTGTGGTACAGATGCAACCGGAACATCAAGCCCGTGGTGGTGGTCTGTCTTGTGGTCTGGATTGCGCCTTTAATTTATGTTATCCCTCTTTATTTTCAAGTAAAATTTGAGCTAAGAGAAACAATTTTTGCAATCTTCCATCTCATCCCTCTCCCCTTGTTTATTTTCTTTTTGGCTGGGACCATCAAAGCGCTTTCTGCAGCTCGCAGCGTCCCTACTGAGGAAAAACAAAGAATCATAGCAATTTTGGTCACAGTCCTGCTAATTTACACACTGTTGTTCATTCCCAATGTCATCTGGTGCCTGGTTGAAGAGGCGAGACAGAATATTTTTAATATTGTGTCGTTCATGCTCCTTAATATAAGTCCTCTTGCTGACTTGACCCTGTACTTCTTCATTAGGAAAGGCGCCATTGATAAGGTTTTGAAATCACTCTGTTGTTGTAAAACAACATTGTATGAAGACACAAACAACACAAGTACTGATAATGTGTAGCTTTTATTTAATGAGCCAGTTTAGGCCTTAAACGGTGACATGAAGGGGCTGTGTTTTACTCAACCGCATTTCTTTCCTTCTTGATTTCGGAACTATACAATTATTGTTACCCTTACATAAACTTGCACATTTCTTGTACGTTGAACAATAACAATCCCTTTTTTCGTCATTTTAATTGTATGTTGTAATTTAATTTGTCGTCTGTAGTTTAATTTGTCGTCTGCATTTATTCCTTTCCTAGCAGACGTGTGTTATACCTAGGAAGCACTCTGATGTTAAGGGTTGTGCCTAAGGACCCTCTAACCACTATAGGGCTGATTATCCTCCGGCAGCAGTGTGTCGCAGTGAGCTTGTGACAGATATTTTTGATTTATGCCCAATTTTGAAGCATGGTCTGCGCTATGTTATTAGACACAAAAGAGACTATCAGGAACTAGGTCTAGATGCGGCCAAGGTGGTGAGGAAATGGGGGCAAGGTTGTGCGACAACAGCGGGACATGAGGGTCAAAAAGAGCGGGAATCCAGGTGGAAAAAGAGGTCCCAGCGTTCTCGCGCACCTCGCTCTTCTAGCTGGTCCATCTTCTCGAATCGTTTTCCACAAATGGCGGTCATACAAACAAAACAAGCAGGTAAGGTACCAAACAGGAAATACGCATAGAGTAGAGCAGATGTAGATTTGACCAATAAGAGGCCTCTGGTCTGCAGCACTGTCTGCGGTCACTTACAATTTTGGACAAATGCACCAGAGTGTCTTTGGAAGGGGGGGTGGGGGCCGGAGTTGGGGGAGCACATTTGTTGCATTCACCTGGTTTCTGAGCATAAACCAGCCTTTAGGCACAGCTCCCTCATTTGTATCTGAATTGGTATCTACATTAAAGCTGTCTGAAGTTTTCAAGGATTTTATTATATTCCTAAAAAAACTTGTTCGCTCCCTAACTAATGTTTCTTTCTTTTTTGTAGTTCATCTTTTTTTTTGTATATATTTATTACATTTAAAGTTAACGATGGACACTGAGGCTGTACATTTTTGTTTGTTGATAAAATAGTCTTCTCAAGCAATCTGACAAACTCTCTGATATGCGGAGCAATCCATCTGGAAACCTTCCGTTGAAGTAATTTTGGGAAGGGGCGAAAATACTGGTTAGCTGATTGGCCTATGTTGGTGATAGACGGGCCAAACAAACCAATCAGATCAATGAGCATATGACGTACTAACATCCTGCCCACTGTTTTTTTAAAAAAGGTCTCAAAGACCTTGGAGTCAGATCTGCTTCAGATTGTGAACTGCTCTCTAACGTCAGGTGTTTTCCCAGAGTCACTGAAAACAGCTGTGATCAAACCTCTGCTAAAAAAGGATAATCTAGACAAGACACAGATGAGCAGCTACAGGCCGATCTCCAATCTTCCATTTTTAAGTAAGATCATTGAAAAAGCAGTCTTTCACCAGCTAAATGACTTTTTAAAAGAAAACAACCGTCATGATGTCTTCCAATCAGGTTTTAGACAGCACCACAGCACCGAGACTGCTCTGACCAAAGTCACGAATGACATATGTCTGAAAACTGACACTGGTAAAATGTCAGTGTTGGTTTTACTGGATCTCAGCGCCGCATTTGATACCATTGACCACATTATATTACTCCAACGACTGGAGAAGTGGGTGGGCCTCTCTAGTTCTGTACTAAACTGGTTCAAAACATACTTGGAGAACAGGAAGTACTTTGTGTCAGTAGGCAATTTTACATCTGAGCAGACAAAAATGACCTGTGGAGTTCCCCAGGGCTCTATCCTGGGGCCTCTTCTGTTTAACATCTATATGCTCCCACTGGCTCAGGTTATAAAGAACAACAATATTAGTTACCATAGCAAACAGATGACACACAGCTATATATTACAGTATCACCAGGAGACCGGGGCCCTGTACAGGCTCTTGGTAAATGTATTGATGAGATTAATGACTGGATGTGCCTCAACTTTCTTCAGCTGAACAAAAACAAAACTGAGGTGATTGTTTTTGGAGCTAAAGAGAAACGACAGCAGGTTGTTACAGAACTTCAGTCCATGCACCTAAAAACCACCAATCAGGCCAGAAATCTGGGTGTAGTGATGGACTCAGACTTAAACTTTGAAAAGCACATCAAAGCGATCACTAAATCAGCCTACTATCACCTGAAGAACATCTCAAGGATAAAAGATCTGATGTCTCAGGAAAATCTGGAAAAACTAGTCCATCCATTCATCTTCAGTCGGCTTGACTACTGTAACAGCGTCTTTACTGGTCTACTTAAAAAATCAGTTAAACAGCTGCAGCTCATTCAGAACTCTGCTGCTTGAGTTCTCACTAAGACCAGAAAAGTGGACCACATTAGTCCAGTTCTCAGGTCTTTACACTGGCTGCTGGTCCATCAGAGAATAGACTATAAAGTTCTGTTGCTGGTCTATAAAGCTCTGCATGGTTTAGGCCCAAAATACATCAGTGACCTCTTGACCCAGTATGAACCTACTAGACCCCTCAGGTCATCCGGATCTGGCCTTTTATCCGTTCGCAGAGTCAGAACCAGACATGGAGAGGCTGCGTTCAGCTTCTATGCTCCACATGTCTGGAACAAACTCCCAGAAAATCTCAGGCCCCGTCCACACGAAGTCAAACCCTGGCCTAAACGCACAAATTATTCACCAAACCAGCCTCTCATCCACACGAAGCCGGCGTTTCGGGGGTCTGTAAACAATCTTTTTTTTATTCAGCCTTCAGAGTGGGAAGATTTTGAAACGCCGTTTTAGCGTTTCCATCTTTAAGCTCTAACCGCATTTTTTTTTTACACGCATGCGTCATAGCGTCGCCTCTAAACACGCATGCGCGACACAGTATCACAACAACAATGGCGCCGTACAGTGTTGAATGGTTGCTGCTCATGCTACTCACCCTGCTGTCGGGCTTACAACAGAATCTTCTTCTTCTGGAATATCTCCAGGAAGAACAGAGCAATATCGACCACATAGTTCAGCACCTGAATTTGACTGAACCACGAAAATTGACCCGCAGGGCAACCATGTATAAATATTAGTGCGCATGCCCAACATTTCGTCGCTTATTTTTGCTTTGGCACCACAGCGCCACTTACAGGCCTGGCATACATTTTGCAGCGATTTCATGCATTCGTGTGGACGATCACATTTATTTTACGTCTCCGTCTTTACGACAAACGTTCTGGAAAATATTAGCGTTTCGTGTTCGTTTTGTCTTCGTGTGGACGGGGCCTTAGATTAGCTGAAACACTTAGTTTATTTAAATCCAGGCTGAAGACCCACCTGTTCTCAGCTGCATTTACGTAGCTTTTATTCAAAAGTTAAAATTGGCCCGTCTCTGTATTCTCTATTTTTAATTTTAAATGTTTTTAATTTTGAATCACGCTTTTAATTGTTTTCTTTCCCTTTTGCTTATAATGTTTTATGTAAAGCACTTTGAATTGTTCTGTACATGAAATGTGCTATACAAATAAACTTGCCTTGCCATTTATCATTTAATCTGAATGTAGTTGTAGTTGAATGTATTTATGTTGTTTTAATTGCACTGTTGTTATCATCATACCTGCTACTATTCCAAATGGAATCTTAGGGTTTCATTCTTTTTTCTTTCAAACTAGTCTGTTAGTCTACCTCGTGTGTATTTTCTAATAGTGTGTCGTGTTTGCATAGATGTTAGATTTCAGTAATCCTGAATTATTACAATAAAGACATCATTGTTTAACTTGCAGTTGTGCGTGGTTCATATACGAATAGTTTATCACTCAGGCCAGATCCACCCTCTTTTGGTAATAGTTTGTATAAACAGAGATAAATAGTTATTTGATTTTTAATTGATAGCTCTGCTGATAACCTAGCCTAGGTCACTAAATTGGTGGGGATACGTGAATTTTAACAGCCGGTCCAGGGAACCATCCAGAGGTGAAAGGCATAAACACTGGTAAGTAAGAAAATTAGAGTTACAATTATTAAACTAAGAAAACAAATAATTAATTACAACAATCATTTATTCATTCTCTGCAGGTATCATTTTGCATAACAAGTCATAATAGTTGAGACTAAAATGCCAGACTGTATAAGTTGACAAACCTTATGTTACGGTTCTCCCCTTTTCGACTTCCATTTGACTGTTTGGGATTTAAGTTATTTATGTCATTCCGTTTTGTTGATTTTTGGTTTATTTCCATTATGTGTTATATTTAATCTGAGTTTTTTTTTTTTGTTTTTTTTTTTGAGTTACTCTCTTTTGCCTTCTTGTGCCAGTCTCATTTCCCCTTTCTCTATTCCATTGACTCCTCCTCTGCAGTTCCTCATTGTTGTTTCATGTTGTTACTTAGCTCCCCATGTGTGTTTTATCCTGACATCTCCTGGTTTTTGTTTTCCTGTATTTTGGTTCTTGGATTTTGTTTCTGTTGCCTTTTTCATTATGTCTGCAAAACGGGAATCCCGCTTAGTCATCTTAGCATTTGGGTCCTCAACTAACTTCCACCAAACCTGACATCTTAGTAATGGCATTCATAACCTTTATGGACTGTTGTCCTTTGATAAAAACTAAATGTATGGATTCTGTTAGAAACAGGGGTGGAAGTAAGCCGGAGTGGTCCGGTACTGCGTACCAGTAAAAGATTTAGGACTGGTACGCAGTTCCAGGAAGAGCTGCTGGCTGCTATTTTTGCCAACAAATGTACAGATACCAACTTAATGAGACTAATGTGCCATTTTTAAATCTCACACACGTTCATTCGTGTCTGATTATTTAATACATGCATCTCAAAGGACATTTAAATGTTTATATTTGCACATAGAGATCTTTCCAGTTTTAATTTAGAAAAATGTGCAGGACCATTGGGCTTCCATACCTGCTTCACTCGCTTTTGATCACATTTATAGATTCTTTTCTTGTGTGACATGTTTAAATTGGACCACAAAATGTTCTGGTTAAGATTTTTCTTATCTCACTGTTGCAGTTTTGGACGTGCCATGGAGTCACCTCAGTCAAATTCAGAACGTCTCACGTGCTCATCTAGATTATAACTTCCTCTAGCAAAGATAGGGAACAAACTGTTGAGTGTTTTGCTCCATCAGAACGATTACAAGCTAAGATCGCCCTCTCAGGCTTTTTCTGTTAAGGGCGATTTAAAGTTCTGTTTGATCTAAAAGCTCGGGCGGCTTTAGGCAGCCTCTTTAGGCGAGAGCGGCTGTACCCTTTATGATAAAATGATGGAGCTGCTGCCTGACCATGTAGAAAGGGGAAGACTCAGGTTCTATGTTTTCCTGTTTCCACCTGAGCCTTATGTATAGAAATTTGACAAACTTCAGAGAAGCTGCATCAGCTGCATTGGTGGCAATGGCTGGTGGGGGTACTTCCCAATACTGCAGTGGCTAGGGAGGCCACTGCAGTACTTTTTGCGGGTATTCAAATGGACAGAAAATAACTTTGATGTTGGTAACAATGAAGACAACAGTTGTTTTGAGTTAGGACCAGCGTATTAATAGAAACAAAATATAAACTATCAAAAATGTTATAGTATGGCAAAGATGAAGGCTGTCTAGAAAAACATTGCATTGACAAAACTATTGGACCTCCTGATTTAACACACATATTGGAAATACATTTTTTGTTTTGTGAAAGCCTAAATATGTCAAGAGGCGGAGCTTTTTCAAAAAGTGTCATGCTGCATTTTAAACATATCTGAGCTTCCTGCCACTCTTATCACCACAGTGAGGCTCTGAAGTTAATCAAGATAACCACCGAAAAAAAAAAAAAAAGCTGCTGTAAAAGGACTGCGTTTTAAAATCCACTCAATAATCCTACCATTGTCTCAACATTGAAAAGCTGCTGATTTCACCTGCTGGGTTACTCAACAGATAAATATCCTCTGCAACAAAGTGGTGAGTAAACTATTTATTATTATTGTCAGAAAATAGATATTGAAGTTCATCTTTTAGGTTTAAGTTTTATCAGAATGATACAAAGGCCTTTTCTGTTTAAATGAAATTATTTCGAAACACTTAAATTATTATTTTATCACAGATAAATTAATCAGTCATTCTTGGATCATTCCTACTAACTTTGGCACTTAGGACTTCTAAATCCTGGGTTTCAGTGCCATGATGTATGCCATGATCACGAGCATAATAGAGCTGGACGATATAGAAAAAAAGCTTATCGATAAAAAAAAAAATGCATATTGATCGATATCAATAATTATTGAAAAGATTTGAAACCATATTTCATGTGCAGGTCTGCCTGGACTTTTTATGATATAGCTAAATGATTTAATTTTAATAAAGAACACAAACACAGACTTTCAATTAAATATTTATTTAATCAACTTTTTTAACCATAACAGAATTGTTTTAAAGAAAAATAGCTTAAGAGACCTGAGTTATGTATTAAATGCTGACAAAGAATAAACTAAAGTGACCAGAAAAGTGACCAAAATAAATATAACAAATAAATAAATAGAATACCCTATTTGGGTGGGAATAGTACACCACCAGCTTGTGGTAATTAAAAGATTGTAGGACTAGGCTACCATGTAAACTCCACTCAACAAGAACAAACCCCCCCCCAAAAAATCAACTCACCCTTTATTCTAGCATTTCTATGGGGTATTTTTTCTCACCCGTTTTCTTCTAGAGGTGCTGCTGGCACCTCGTTATGGTTCAGCTTAGTTTCCTGCTTTAACCTGAGTTATTACTTTGAAGTTTCTGGCCCCTTAGCATTTTTCTCTCAATTTTTAGAACTATGTGGGAAACAGCCCAGAACTGAACGTATATATATATATATATATATATATATATATATATATATATATATATACGTTCAGTTCTGGGCTGTTTCCCACATAGTTCTAAAAAAAAAAAAAAAATATATATATATATATATATATATATATATATATATATATATATATATATATATATATATATATATATATATAAAATGTACTTTTTTTTTCTTCCCGAAATTCCTGAAGATCCCTCGGAGGAGAGCCGCCCCGGGGCCTAAACAGCTCGTACTCCTGCGGGTGTGAGCGGCTGAGTTGATTAAAAAAAAGTTGGTTGTGTTATCAGACTGGTTTTCACTGGTTCCCGACACATTTTCCAGATGACTGTGGTTTGTTTTTTGTCCGACTTGCCGTGACTGAAATACTGCCAAACTGGCGAACTACAAAAACCCTTCTTTGGAACAATTTCCTCCGCCTCTCGTTGCTGCGACATCTTCATGTGCTCTGTGTTGTGGTTTAAGAGGGCGACGCTTGGTGACGGCGTGTCTGGGTCCGTGATTGTGATTGGTTGGGAGGAAGTAGTGACTAGCATAAACCTACATGATAGGCTACAATGAGAAGGAAGGAAAACTGCGTTTCTTTATAGAACTTTTATCGACACTATTTTTTTCTATTGCGCCACACGTCTATCGATCGATATATATCGTTATTGAATTATCGCCCAGCCCTAGAGCATAAGTATAAAAGTAATTAGAAAATGAACTTTTGATAATTAAAGCTTGTTTAAATGAAACACGGTTTAATTGCCTCTTCCCCTTTTGTTTTCTCAAAAATCAAGTTCTAATTATGACACAAAACAATTATAGAATTTTATAAATCCCTTATAATAATACAGTTTAAAGTAGTTTTCATCCAAAGATTTGTTTTGATATCAAAATGTTTTTTAGATTAAATTATTAAAAAGGAATTCGGTCCCATAAGTCACCTGTCCACCCTCTAACCCTAAAATACCCAGCACCTCCGCCGTCCAAAACCATTAAATGGTTAATTGATTTGGTAAAGCAAGACATTTACAGCCTGTTGCCCTTAATTCTTTAGGAAATGTGTTATTTCTTAGTTTTGCAAGGTACAGTGCTACTTGTAAATACAATGCAAGTCCTTCTCAGTGGTCACCAATCATTAGCTTGTTTTTCATGACAGGATAAGTCATTTCTGATTTTAATACGGTGTCAAATTTCTGCCTGCCAAAAAACAGAAAAGCTTATTAAACAATCACAATAATGCAATTATTAATCACAACAGTGCATTTAATTACGGAACTCTGGAAGCAGCTGCTGCCACGATGCATGCTGGGATAGCTGTCAGTCTAGAGAACACACAAGTCTGCTTTGATGCATGCTTGGTAAAGAGGGAGGAGCGAGAACAACATCCTGGGACTTTGTTCATTCGTTTTGTGTTCTTGTGAACTGAAACACTGCTAGGGCTGAGGCTGATTATGTTTTCAGAGCACACAAGTACATGACAACATACAAGTTCAATTCAATTCAATGTAGTTTATTTATAAAGCGCCAATTCACAACAAATGTCTTCTCAATGTACTTTACAGTTCACCAGATCATCCAGTCAAATTGATTAAAAGTTTTCTAAGGAAAACCAGTTGATTGCATCGACTCATTGACTCTTCAGCAATCCCTCACACTAAGCATGCTTGTAGCGACAGTGGAGAGGAAAAACTCCCTTTTAATACACGACAAAAAAATCTAAATCTAGATAAGTTTTTCTTTCTTAAAATAAGTGCATTTGTTCTTGGATTGAGAAGGTAAAAGAGACATTTTTCCAATGGAACAAGACAATTTTCCCTTAAAAATAAGAAAACACAATTGCATTGTCTTATTTCAAGTGCATTTTATCTAATTATCTTATTGTAAGAGTAAAATTACTCATTCCATTGGCAAACTATCTCATTTACCTACTCAAATTAAGGGTGAATACACTTAATTTAAGACATTTTTACTTATTTCTAGAGCGTTTTTGCAGTGCAGGAAGAAACCTTCCAGCAGAACCAGGCTCAGTGTGAGCGGCCATCTGCCTTAAGGCAATTTTTAACTTAACATCCACCTCATTTTAGGAAATTCTCGCCTATTTTGCATACCCAAATGGAAAAGCAAATAACTGTAAGCCCAAATTACATGTGCAATACATTATTCGACTCAGTTGAGGAAGTAGCTGAGAGGAGGCTGCTGTCCAAGCTTACATCCATCATGGGAAACACCTTCCAGCTTCTGCAGCAGACTGTAGAGCAGCGGAGCAGCTCCTTTAGTGAAAAACTTTTACAACCTGTTTGTAAAAAAGCATCGCTACCGCAGGTCTATCATCCCTGCTGCCATCAGACTCTACAATGGGACACTACAATGGCAAAAACTTATGCAATGTATAATGTGCAATTACAATTTGATACTCTGTTTCTCTATATTTGACACTCAGTGCAATAACTATAGATATAAAATTATCCACCTGTATAAATACCCATGTAAACGCCCTATGCAATAACCCTGCATTATAAAAAAAAAAGCTGTCATATGAGGATGCACTATATAGATCAATAAAGTCAATAAAGCCCGGAAATAATGTTGTCATGCTATGACTTGCTATTTCTTTGAAATTGAAATTGTTATCATTCACCCATTAACTGTTTGCTGACAAGAAGTCAACAAATCAGATGTGTATCTTTACATATGTGAGTTTGATTTATTAGTCTACTTGACTAGTGGGGAAACAAATCATGATAGGTCACAGCAGGTACTGCTGCTGTGATTGGCTTAAATCTCCACATGGGAGGCAGGCGGCCATCTGTGATTTACCCAATCAGTTTAAAGAAGCGTACTGAATGTCCCTCCCTTTTGCAAACACTTTTAACAGAAGACTTTCCAGGTGGGTACTGTGTGGAATTTAAATTGAACTAAATATATAAATTTGGCATATATTTGGCATCAGGCTAGAAGAAGCACACTCAAAAGATGAAACATAATACTCCTAGGGTATGAGTCATTTTAAACTTCTCAAAAACCTGGAAAGAATTTTTTCCCAAATTCAATGAGTTTCATAAAACCAGGTGGATCCAGTATTCAAGGTGAGACAGTCAGTAGGAAAGTTCAAAACATTTATTAAAACAAAAACATAAATGGACAGAACAGAATTAAAGCGCGGGGCTTTGGAAATGCAACCGTGGTGACTGCAGAAAAAGGGGGGGGGGCACCCAATCACTGACATCCTCACAGTCCATCCTCTCAATAATGAGCGTGCTGATTATTGTGCTGCCAATGAAATGCTGTCGAGGCGTCCCGAGTGTCTCCAATGCTGCAGCTCCGGAGAACATGCCAACAGTCCAACAATCCAAGAATCCACAGCTGATCAGAAGTTCAGACCTAAATAAGTGGAGTGGTGTATGCAGTTCAGCGCAGTGAGGAATCCTATAATCTTTATATTGGAAAAACCAAACAAGCTCTCCACAGATGCACGGCCAAATATAGAAGCGCCCTCCTCGGGACAAGACTCTGCAGTAGATCTACACCTTATGGACGAAGGACATTCTTTTGAGGACCAGAATTTTCACATTTTGGACAAAGAAGACAGGTAGTTTTAGAGGGGCGTGAAGGAAGCATCTATGTTAAGAAAGAAAAAACAACCTTAAACAAAAGGGGTGGACTCAATTTCCAGCTTTAAAAAACCTACAATGTAGCTATTGAGTTAATCCCTTTCTGTTATCATTGCCGCCCCACCCCCTGTACAGGAGAGTCGAGGACCTCGTCAATTCAGCCAGGTCAACAATTTTCTTTAACGACACTTAAATGGGTATGGGGTAATGTAGTCTAACAAAAGAAGCCAAACGACCCCTTTTTACAATTTGCATGTTTTCAAAACAATAACAAGGCTTTGTTGAGCTACTGTATAAAACCTCAGACTCAGCGCTATTCCTGACATTTTGAATTGAAAAAGCTTCCTGGATGGAAAGCAAAACATCTTCAAGCTTGGAAACAAAATCCAGTGGATTGTTTTTAATTTTCTGTTGTCCGACCCAAACAGGAACAGAAGAAAACAAGCTTCTAGGAATCCTGGAAGGCTGGTTGAGAGACAGAAGGGTCCAAAAGCGTGGCCTGAAACGCTTTCACCACTGTTTAGAGAATTAACTTGCCTGAAGACAAAGGCTCAAAGGCTCAAGAGTAATCTCCCACTGGAAACGGGAAACATGAACCTTGGAAATAACTAAAACTAACAAAACCGACAGACAGGAGAAACAGAATTAGAACAATGATCTGGCCACGATAGCTGGGCTGAGCAGAATATAAAGGAAATAACCAGGTGGATAGGATGTGGAGTATTTAAGAACCAAACAGAGTTAAGCAGGTGAAAGGCATGAATAATTAAGGTGAGCTATCAGGGCAGATCATGACCATGAGTTTGGGTCCTATCCAGGAAACGGAACTGTAAATAGTAAACGGATTTAACAAACAATGATCTGGCTTTAAAAGCAGATCCTTATCTCAAACTCGAGAAACATGTTTGTTTTTCCTTTTTTATCATAAAATAGTTTCCTACATCATAATGACCTTTCTTAACATGAGGAACGAAATGCAGTTCTCATTGGTTTTCGTAAAAAGATCACATATGATTCTATTAGTTTCTCAAAGCACCTTTATTCTTTGTTAAATACTTTAGTAATAGAAGAGATGTTCTGACTCATTCACATTATATCTATATCTCTTATAACACAAGCAATTCTAAATATATACATGTATATTATAAATCCTGTAAATGCTGCCATTCCACATTCAATGTTCAGGAGGTTTTGGTAACTTTTCTAGTCATCATTGCATCATTTCACACTTCTGTTTTCCAGAGAAGGTTACTCAGAAACAGCAGCCGAATATAAGCATTTTGTTAGATGTTTTTGTGACAATAACAATCTGCAAAGGACCATTTTGTGGGAGAATTCTTATTTAAGCTTTTAAAGGTAAATATGATTATGTGTCACATTGTAAATGTTGACTTTTGGAGCTGTTGGCTTTAATAGCTTGACTATTTATTTGCTATATTTTGCCATGTATAACTTGTCCTGATATGTTCAGAACTTTGTGTTGGGAAAGATAATATGCTTGAAACTGAGTTTAATTAGTAGAGGTTTGAAATCTATAAAAGTCTGTTTCCTACTGACTGATGTAAACCGAGTGGTAACATTGCAAATAAAGAACAGGCATAATTGAAACCTTCCATACTGTGTCAGCGACTAAATTGGTTGTTTTTTTGTCTTAAGTGGATATGATCTTAGTTTCTGTTATTAAATAGGGTTAAATGATCTGAACACATACTGTATATTTGTTTCTATTTTGAAAATGTATTTATTTATACACTACTAACCAATTGACAAATTTAATTATTATTAATTACATTTTGAATAGAAATGTTTAATTACATCTGAAAGAGAGATATTGTTAAAGCGTGAAAAGTATACAACCATAACACATACGTGTTGACATCTGTTTCAATCAGCATTGTCTGCATAAATCAATGTACATAAAGAATAAAAACTGCCAATAAAATTGATAATACAATGAAATTGAATATCAATGACTGATGCATTTTCTTTTAAATTCATACATCACTACTTACAATTGTTCTTTTGACATTTCAATGATAAAAAAGAAATCAATCTGTTATCTGGTAAAACATAAATTCTTAATGCTGATGAAGGTTCTCAGTCATCCAGGTCATAGTCATTCCGTAAAAATTCAAAAAATATCCACTGGACTTGGTTTTCAAGATTTGAAGACGTTTCGCCACCTCTCCATGAAGCTTTCTCAATTCAAATGTCTGGATCCGCAGTGAGTTTGAGTCTTATATAGACAACGCCTTGTATCGCTTGGAAACATGCAATAGAAACCGATGAATGGGTCGTTAGTTCCTTCGTTAGCCTGTAATATCTGAAACTGTCTATGATTCTAGGGGTCGGTCGTTAAAGGGGGGATTGCCATTAAGGGGGAGATTGTCTCCTGTAATACCTGAAACCTGTCTATGATTGTTAAGGGTTGGTCGTTAAGGAGGTATTGTTCACCGGCTGGAGCGGGTAAGTCCCTCGTTCCTCTATGATGGGGTGGGGGGTTTGGTGATATCTGGAAGGGATCATGTCTATGATTGAATTGTATGTTTTTGGAATCTGGAATCTCAGTCCACCACCTCTGTTTAAAGTTGGTTTTTCTCTCTTAACATAGATGGCTTCCTTCATGCCCCTCTCAAACCACCTATTTTCTTTATCCAGAATATGGACATTCTGGTCCTCAAAAGAATGTCCTTTGTCCACAAGGTGTAGGTGTACTGCGGAGTCTTGTCCAGATAAATTCTGGACATAAAGACATAAATTCTTAATGGAAACAGCTGTCCAAAGGCAAAATATTTACAGAGTATTTACCTAATTTTGTCATGATGGGTTCACTGAAAGCGACCCAAGAATGCAGAACACCACTGACGGACACAAGGATGAAAGTTTAACAGTTTTATTTTGCACAAACACACGGAATATTCTGGTTCTGGTTCGGGGCCTGGATTCTGGTTCACCGGAGTCTGTGTGAGAGACAGTTCAGTTAGCGTTGCCAACAGAGGTTTGACTTCCAGAAGTCTACTGATTGTACCTTGAGGGTTCTTGAGGTTAGCTTTGGGAGAGTCACTGTTGGTTCTGGAGAAGAGTTTATCAGCAGAGTCGGTAGCTGCTTCAGCGTCTCACGTCTACTTAGAACAGACCTTGGCTTTGGGTTACCCAGCTCAAGTCCAGAGCTGCTTGGAGGTTCTCTGTGAATCTTCGGGTTTGGCTCAGAGGGTCGGCTCGGCAGGTTAGCTCTTCCAGAGCTTTCACAGAGGAGGCACAGGTTTCCTGGAAAACAGACACAGGGGTTAGAATCCAAGCTGGATTCAAAAGTCATGGATTTACACTGAGGATCTAGGCTTAAGCACTGACCAACTGGAACAACACTGCGGTGTTGAGGCAAGGTCTGAAGACAGCTTAAGTAGTGGATCCTCTGATGATCTTGACGAGCTGCAGCTGTGCAGGAGGCTCCCTCAGAGGATCCACGGCGGACTCTGCTGGAGAAAGGTGGAATTTCTCCAGCTCCCAACAATTTTAAGTTTTGATTTATAGCTTTTAATTCTTCTATATATATTGATATCTTTTTCTAACAGATAATGAAATCTAAAAATGAAAAAAAAATTACATTTAATAGTAGCGTACATGGGTTCTAATTTCAAATGGTAGTTTTATTTTAATAAACAAACCTCATTGGATCAGATTCTAATTTCTCCAGTATGACTTTATTTTGCTGTGTAGAAATAATTATAGTAAATAGATGTTTGATTGAATTTAGGGTAAAAAAAAATAGACTGAACTGAACTGATAGAAATGTTAATACTAAATTCAAAAAAGGAATCAAATTTAAAAGAGCCAATGTGTTGTCTTTGTACAAAGTATCAATTGAATTTCATAATTTGACATTTTTGGTGTTGGGATTTTATATTCAATGCCCATCCAGGGTGGATGCCACATTAATGTTGTGGATTTATATTCTATTCAATTCCCAGACAGCTGGGAATTTATATTTCTGATACATTCAGATGCCTATTGCCCTCCCCAGTATGGGTGGTAAATATCTTATTTAATCAGATATTGTTTTGGCTGTTATTGTTGTTCCAAGTAAAACATATTTCAATTTAGAACTCTTAACTAAAACTAGTGAAACTCAACTAAACTAAACTACTATGTACAAAGAGGAAGGGAAACATGGTTGAAAACCGTGTAACAGTTTAAGATGGATCTTGTGATTGATAACCAAAGTTTATCTGGAATCATTTTTGTCCATGTCCATTAGAAGGCTTGGGTTTCATCCAGCAGCAGCTTAGCAGTCAGGCTAAACAGCAACCAGGGGTTTCTTTGTCTCAGGCTCACACCATGGGGCTTTAGAAGGCTTTCTCTCCACTCTGGCTCTCTAAATTCTCAAGAGAAATGTGTTGCACAAGGTTTGGCTCTAAAAGGTCACAATAATGATTTATTCTGGAGATCTGGGTCTTTTTGGGCCCGGGTCTCCACTCTGGCAGATACCCTGCTGAAGTGGACTCCAGCTTCATAGGAAAAAGAGCAGGGAAAAAGAGAGAATCCTGTGTGTTTGTTATGTGGTTTATTCTGTCCTCACACAGAGGGGGGTGGTTGGCCACACCTCTTTGAAAGTTCCTGTGGCTGAGAAAGGGGGGTGCAGAGTTCTTATAGCTGCTTATTTACTGAACTTTTATTCTCTTATCTGGTCATCATGTCAAGATGAAATATTTACACTGCTTCCCAATGTCCAAAAACCATGATCATGGCATATGGCACAACAGTGGACAATGACTGTACTGACTCTGCTTCACAGAGTATTGACAATATTCAGGAACAAATTTCACAAGGTAAACTTAACCTTGCTAACCATGATCTCATGTCTATCTGCAGGTTCTCCTCAAAGAAATGGATGAGTTTTACAACCAAACCAATTTCAACCGAAGCAGTGATTTCAACAACAGCTCACCTGGTGACAGCCCTGAAAATATCAATGGTGTACGTGCAGTAGTGCGTCTGTTGGAATTAATCATCATTTGCACTGGTCTTCCATCAACTCTTCTGGCGATTGTTGCAGTTTGTTGCCTGGTGAGTGAGTTTAATTGAGATCCTTATATAATACATGTCTAATAAAAATAAAACACTCAAGAACAAATCAAGGCCTGTCACTTGATGTTGATCTTGAACTAGAGCCAAAGATTCTGTGGTAGAATAAGGTTCAGTTTGCATCAGGTTTGAACTTTGAAGTTTAGGATGCTTAATGTACCACTCAGTTTGTAACTGTTTCTGTAAAGCATCTTTGCAAATGTTGCAAAATTATTGTCATTGATGATTTTTCATGGGCCTTCTAAATTTGTGTATGATTTTGTCTAATTTAGCTTTCTGGTAACACAGGGCATATAAGAAATCCTTTTCTAAATCGTAATTAGAAAGCAGTCACAGTTCAGTATTGGAGGTAAAGACAAGCACATGGAAATGTTTTTGGCAAGTGGTTCTCCATTAACACAAGGGATCTACAATAAAGGATGTAATAATTATGAAATAGTCTGGGCCTAGGTGTATTCTTTTAGGACTAAGGCCAAAGGTTTTGTGGCTGAATGAAGTTCATCTTGGATCAGGTCCCACCTTAAAATTTTGAGATGCTTAAACTAAAATAACACTCAATTTGTGACACATTCTTGTAAATAATTGAATAGGTATTATCGCTGAAGGTTTTTCATGGCGGCACTTTTTTATACCATCTTTTGAAGTCCAAAAGTCACCTGTATATCTGCGAATGATTTTGCCTAATTTAGATTTCTGCTAATAAAAGGCCTTTTATTATATTTTTTTCCAAACCCTTTTCAGACTTTTAAAAGTCTAAAGTGAACCGTTGTGAGGCACTTTTGTTTAAAGTAGGGCATCATTTCATAAAAAAGGTTTATTTGAATTCTAGAAATCAGTTTTCTGTCCAATAGCAATGATGAACTGCATAGCAGTATTCTATACCCAGCTATTGTAGTATCTAGGCAAGAGCTGTCAATCTGGTAAAGAATCTGGTTGTATTTGAAATTGTAAATGTTAGCTGTTTTTAAATTGCAACATAAAACTGACTTAATTTAGACTGAGGCCTTTTTGAATTTTAGTCGACTAAAATCTACTAAAACTATCACATAAAGTAATGACTAAAATGTGATTAAAACTAAGAATAGTTTCCATCCTGAAGACTAACTAAATCTAAAATGGCTGTCAAAAGCAACACTGTTATTAACTTATCAGCAAGAAAGGTCTATATTAGCTCTTCTAAAAGTTGCTAGAAGGTAAAGTATGATGTCATCACCTAATTTGCATGTGTCAATTAAAGAAAAATACATATAATTCAGCCATTTTGTTCCAAACTCAATATCAGTTGGTGGCATAAATTCATAATTTGTTGTTTGCCAACCACCAAAGCAAAGGTATGAATAAAAAAGAAAGCAGTGCAAAGACACACAGATGCAGGAGGAGGAGAAAGAGACATAACTGTCATGTTTGGTTTAACGTGTCTAACCCACATGCAGAACACTCAGAGGCAGGAGTAAAGTTCAAAGGTTTATTTAGAAGATTGTACACAATCAATGAACTGATCCAGTGGGGAACTCGTCTGGTCACGAGTGGGTTCTGAAAGGCACACAGATAAATCAGGTCCAGGAAGAGAACGGACTGGTCACAAGTGGGTTCACTGCAGAGGGGGACAGAGGAGTTAGTGGAGGTCCAGGAATTAGCTGGATGAGAGAGTGCAGGGCAGTACCTGTTCTGGAGTTGAACTGAGCAGCTGAGGGGGGGAACCTTGAGGTTCCAGAGGCTGTCGGCAGGCTGAGGGCTAGACGGAGGCAGAGCTTAATTTGAGTGCAGGCAGATCACAGATTTGAGTTTCCTTCCAGTATCTTCTGAGAGCGGGCAGGCAGATCACCGCCGGAGAAACTCTTCAGGGTTTCAGGTTACTGGCAGATTCAACCCAGGAAGCACAGAGGAAAAAACTGATCAGGTTCAGGTTTTTAGGGAGTCAGAGATTCAGACAGGCAGGTTGGCTCAGGCTTGCTAACCGTTACTGGCAAACACTCTGGCACTGGAGAGAAGTCCTCCGCCTCCTTAAATACGGATCTCCTGATGAGCAGATGAGCGACAGGTGGTGCAATCAGCTCCGGTTCCAGGAGATCTCGTACGCCCTCTGGTGGAGAAAGTGGACAGACCTCCAGATCCCAACAATAACGAGGCTACAAAGTCATAAGGCAGTTAATTTAATTTTATCTGAGACAATTGGTTCCATTACAAAATAGTTTAATGATTCCATTTTAAAATCTAGGGCAACTTAGCAGCAGCTTTGTACTGTACATGCATATTTCATTTGCAATCCGGATTAAAAGTGGAACGGTTTTCTCCCCGTGTTGCAGTGCAGGCTGGATGCTCTACATCACAGGGGTCAAACTGGTTCCAGAAAGGGTCATGTGGCTGCAGATTTTCTTTCCAACCAAACAATAGCACACCAGACTCCATTCATTTCATCAAGTCATCATGTTTGGATTGGTGATGAAGATGATCGTGGTTGTACAGACCGTTCTTTTTGTGAGAAATACTTCTTTGTAAAATCATGACTAGATAAAAAAGAATTTCTAGAGCAGAAATTTGAATAGACAATTATAGATAATAAATTTAAGTCTCCATTAAAGGGGGCAGCAAATACAATTTTTTTTTTTTTTTGTATTACTTTGGTAAAAACACAGCTAGGTTTTAATAAATGGCTTTGAGTAAAGTCTAGTAAATTGGTGATGCTTCTTTACAGATACAAAAAGATCATATTGCTCCGGTCTACATCATCAACCTTCACATTTCTGATCTGATTCAACTGTGTTGTTTAACATCTTTGGCTATGGGAGGGGACCCTAAAATCATTGAATGCATCTACTTATTTGGAGAGATGGCCAGTGTTGGGTTCATGGTCTGTATATCCTTGGAAAGGTAAGTTATAAAACGTTCACTGATGTATATTTCAAGTTTTTTATGCCATAATGTTAATGTGCTGTTAATCTATTGTTTTTTAAACCTAGACTTCTGTTACAGATACTTGGTCATCGTCAAGCCGCTGTGGTACAGATTAAGAAGAGACATCAATACCTTGGTGGTGGTCTGTCTTGTGGTCTGGATGTTGCCATTAATTTATGCCATCCCTTTCTATTGTGATGTTAATGATGAGGTCAGAGAAGCTATTTATGCAATCTATCACCTCATCCCTCTTCCCCTTTTCAGCTTCTTTTTGTTTGGAACCATAGAAGCGCTGTCAGCAGCTCTCAGTGTCCCTGCTGATGAAAAACGAAGAATTGTAGCAATTCTGGTCACTGTCCTGCTCATTTATACATTGTTGTTTGTTCCAAGCATCGTTTGGTCTCTGGTAGAAAAAGCCAGAGATAGCTATATCTATAGTAAAGTAGTTTTCATCTTTCTTAATTTGAGTCCTCTTGCAGATTTGACAATGTACTTCTTCATTAGAAAAGGAATCATCGACAAGCTTTTAAAATCACTCCCTTGTTGTAAAACATCTGCTGATCTGCAAACAAACAGTGCATACATTGATGATGGGTCCGTTTCATTTGATGAACCAGTTTAAGGTTTAAAATCCACACCTCTACAGAGGTTACTGTGGGGCTTGTTTTTAAATGTAGTCCTGTTTCTCTCCTAGACAGAGCTTTTACAGTCAGTAACTGTCCGTACTCTCTTTCATCCTTTGACATGCTGAAAGTTCTGCTGAAAGTTTCATCCTTTTTCAAATTGAGTTTTTCTTTCCCACTGTCACTAAATGCATGTTCAGTAAGTAATTGCTGAAGAGTTCACAACAAAATTAGAGCTCATCCAGGAGAACCAATAACTTGATGGAAGCAGTTTTCCTTGATAGGAACTTTTAGTCATTCTGACTATGAACTGATTGAATTGAATTCTCTGTGTAAAGTGCCTCGAGATCACATGTAAACTGGTGCTACACAAGTCAAATAAATTGGGTTAAAGACAAGTAATGTATAGTGTCCATGGCCTTTTACAAGAATTTCATGCTGATTCTGGTACAGGAAGTGTGATGTTAACATCGAAGGTGACTAAGCAGGTGACTAAACAAATTTGAGAGAGCTGTCTATTATGTTATGTTCATAGTGATTTAAAGTGATACCTAATCTTTATTATAGATTTCTTTCAACAAAGAGTTTAGTAAGTGTTGCACCATCATGAATATAGCTAAAATAATAGCTCCCAGGTAAGTTGCATAGCCATAATACCAAAAAAAGATTTCTTTTTAATCTAATATAGGAGGTGAATAGATGGTAACGAGTAATTAAAGAGTAAAATAAAAAATATTATACTATAACAGTTAATGTAAAGAAAGAATTTCTGTGCATTTTAATTTAAAATTAATCATCAAATACTAGTAAGCCCTTTGAATAATTATTCTATTTTTCTTGAAAACTCAAAATAAAGAAGCTAAAGGCTCAATATGTAAAATAACAACATGCAGTATAGCTGTTATATATAGATTATATTGGTCAATATCTTAAAAAAACTCTTTTATTCGTGTAATCTTTGAGAAATAATAATGGTCAGTACATTTTTGAAAATATTACATCAAGAATTTTAAACCACTTTTAGCCCTGCTCTTTGTGTCATCAGAGAATGACAGTCATTTATTTCCAATGGTTTTTCACAGTTTGTTTATAGCAGTGACATTTTTATGATACATCATATCTCTGGATGTTTATATTTCCGAACCATCACCAGTAGAAGTTGTTTGTCCACAGACAGCATAGGTGAAGAGGTAGAGAGCTGGTGTCTGTTAGCGTTGTTAACTTCACTCTGGGGCTTGTTTTCAATTTTATAGAATTTTTTTCTAATTCGCAGCCGCAGATTAAATTTCTCCTCTGAATCTTCTTTGTCATTCATTTTAATAATAAAACCAGATCTTTTTTTTTGATCTGGTAATATCGGATTAGTGCGCATGTGTGATGTTGACATTGAAGATGACTTGACACATTTAAAAGAGCTGTCTGCAGATGGCCTAGTGCTATGTCACTCCCCAAACTACCGCCATTCTTGTTCACAGTCTCGTCACTTCATGCATCGATTACTGTAACTCACTTCATTTTGGCCTTCCAAACAAGTCCCTCCAGAAACTACAGCTCCTCCAAAACTCTGCAGCACGCCTGATCACTCGGAACCCCACTTCTCATCATATCACTCTCATCCTGCAACAACTCCACTGGCTCCCCATCAAACAAAGAATCATTTTCAAACTCCTCCTAACTACATTCAAGGCCCTCCACAGCTTGGCTCCAACTTACATCTCAGATCTCCTTCACGTTAACACCCCCACCCGCTCCCTACGATCCTCCCACTCCTTCCAGCTCTCCGTTCCCTCGGCCCGTCTGGTCACAATGGGGAACCGGGCATTTAGTCGCTCTGCTCCCCACCTCTGGAACTCCCTCCCTCCGGATCTCCGTACTCTGGACTCCTTCCCTCTTTTCAAATCCAGACTCAAAACTTTCCTGTTCAGACAGTCTTATCCCATCTAGTTCATATGCATCACTCCAATGTTGTTTTCTTCCTTTTCTTCCTTTGGCTTTATTTTACTTCCTGCTGTTTTGTTTTCTGTGGCACCTTTATGCTTGTACTTTTTAGCTTCCTATTTTTAATGTTTTATCTGCCTGTACAGTGCGCTTGAGTGTTTTGATAAGGCGCTTTTAAATAAAATTTATTACTATTATTATTATTGTTATTGTTTACTAGTATGGTGATGAGGAGAGAATACTGTAATCTTTAATTACCAACCTTATTTGATTTCTGCTGTCTATACCAGGCTGTGGAGAGTAGTAGGGTAGGGATATGGACTTTATAGTAAAATAATATATTTTTTTTGTTATTTTCATAGGAAATAACACATACAAAGATGCCCTACTTATGTGTGTGCCCTAAAATAGTAGAGGAGGCAAAAATGGATCAGCCTCTGACCCCTTTGTCTCTGACTGGCCTCAAGAATTGCTTTGCACATGTGTTCATGTGTGAACTTTTTGATAAAACCTGAAACTAGCACCTTTTAGTCTCTGTATTACATAATATATTAAGTCTTTACAGCGTTATTTGGATACATATTGAATTGAATTAGTTTCAGTGAAAAGTTCATAGATGTCAAATGTTCGGCAATCGCAGCTTATCAGAGGCAAGTGGTATCCCGCAGTTTTATTATCTATTACAAAAACTAAGTTCCTCGGGAAGTCTCAAATGGATAATTCTCCTGAAGTTACCTTCCCTTTAGAAAAATAATCAAGAAAAGCTGCCTTTCTACAGTCTTTTTTAAATCATGCAAAACTAAATAATAGTTTTCCAATGGGATCTTTCTCTTATACTCAGAAATGTTATCGGGAAAGACTAAATGATTTCTAAGAAGCCATTTAGAGATGTGTCAAAAAGTATATTATTTTATTTGTCCCAGAGGGCAGCAGGGAGAAGACTCCATGGTGGGGGTGTGTGCCAATAGTGCCATTTTGAGGGTGTGTTTTTTAAATGTTATCATCCCACTTTGGGGATGGTCACCAAGACAAACATGAGGTCAGAGGTCAGGATCTCAGACACGAGCAGCTGAAGATCAGAGCGAGGAAACAAGCAGAGACCAAACTAGAACCTTGTACAGTATCAGCTCCAACAGAAGGGACCAGTTTTAGTTCCCAGAGAAAAGATCACGGCAGGAACCTGGACAGAGGGTGCACCAGAGCTGGGCAGAAAGGTTGTGGGAGACAGTGGGAGATCTAATTCAGAGATATCAAAAGTATTAATATTATTAATACTTTTATATAATATTACTCAAGTAGAAATATAAATCCTACTGTTTAAAAATATTTTTGTAGAAGTATCAACTTGAGCTTTTCACTAAAGTAAAAGTGTAAAAGTACAATTTTTAAAACTAGTAGTAATTAGAAAAATTAAAAGTAATGCAAGAAAAAAGGTCAAACGTAAATTTATTTCTACAGTTCAGGATAATAACTTCCTTATACAAAATTTTCTGTTATTGTAACAGTGTCAAATTTAACTTACATCATCTTGAACTAGTTATTTTGATATGTGGTAAACAATATGTTGGGGCAGCACCAAGTCCAACCGCAATGAAATTCATTGTCTGGATGATAAGATTTACAGTGGAGGAAATAAGTATTTGACCCCTTGCTGATTTTGCAGGTTTGCCCACTTACAAAGAATGCAACAATCTATAATTTTAATCATAAGTACATTCTAAAAGAGAGAGACAGAATCCCAAAGAAAATTCCAGAAATTCACATCATATGAATTTATAAAAATTTATAACCATCTGATGAGGAAAAACAATTATTTGACCGGCAAGTATTCTGGCTCCTACAAGCCAGTTAGTCTTTCTTTAAGACGCAGCCCCAATCCCAACCAATTATCTACATCAAATACACCTGCCTCACCTCGTTACCTGTATAAAAGACACCTGTCAACACCCAAACAACCAGCATCCAACATCAGCACCATGGGCAAGACCAAAGAGCTTTCTACGGACATCAGGGACAAGATTGTTGATCTGCACAAGGCTGGGATGGGCTACAAGAGAATCGGAAAGCAACTTGGAGAGAAAAGATCAACTGTTGGTGCAGTTATCAGGAAATGGAAGAAGCACCACACCACCGCCAACCTCCCTCGGTCTGGGCCTCCACGCAAGATCTGGCCTGGTGGGGTGCCCCTGATCATGCCAACGGTGAGGAATCATCCCAAAACCACAAGGGGGGAACTGATGAATCAACTGAAGGCAGCTGGGACCACAGTTACAAAAGAAACGGTTGGTAACACACTACGCCGTCATGGATGGAAATCCTGCAGTGCCTGCAAGGTCCCCCTGCTCAAGAAGAAACATGTACAGGCCCGCATGAAGTTCGCCATTCACCACCTGGACGACTCAGAAGAGGCCTGGAAGAAGATGATGTGGTCACATGAGACCAAATTAGAACTTTTTGGCCTCAACTCAACTCATCGTGTTTGGAGGGCAAAGAATACCGTGTACAACCCAAAGAACACCATCCCCACCGTCAAGCATGGTGGTGGCCAGTGTTGTGCCTGAATGCGTTCATTGAACGAAAGTTCATGAACTCGTTCATATTTTGGGCGAACGTGAACTGAACGTACTGCATTATTGCCTGATGAACGTTATTGTGAACTCGTTCATTCTGGTGTCTGTGAACGGCACGCTCTCTCAGTTCAGCTCCGTTCAATAGGTTGCCAGATTTCTATAGAGCCCTCCAGGCGAAACCCCGGCTAAATCACACCGTAAACAGGCCTTAATATGTAGCGGAAAAAACACCCAATCTGGCAACACCAGCTACCAGCGTCGTAGCCTACAGCCGCGTGCGTCATCAACACAAAATGCAGCGTGGAAGCCACAGCAGCATGGAGGCGACCGTGTAGGCGACAAAGCAGCAGTATGATCACTTAAAACAGGTTTATGACCAGGTGGTCGGTGAGGATGATGCCAACAAGTTTGCCCGCCGGCTTTCAGTAAAAAAATCCGCACTTCAGTAACCTTAAATTCCTACCTCAGCCTGGTCCCTCAGTTTGTGTTCGTAAAATCTTCTTGAGCGGAGGTCTTCAACAGGGGATCCGCGACCCCTAGGGGGTCTACGGAGGTACTGCATGAGGGTCTGCATGGTTAGTTGATATTTTTATATTCCCCCCCTGCAATTTTTTCCCCCACTAATTGAAATGTCTTTAAATACTCATTAACATGAAATCAACACACTGTAGTAAACAGATAAATGGAGACAAAAGATGTCTTTTAGTCATCAATGCTCACATTCAGCGACACACAGGAGCTCTTTCAAGCTGGGCACCGTTTCCTTCACAACACCTGTCCCATCAACCAGGAATCAGAATCAGAAAAACTTTAATAATCCCAGGGAGAAATTAATTTCTTTACATTACTCCATCTGTAATAGAGTGACTA